TATCCCATGATTAAATGGTATATCACATTCAGAAAACAATTTTAACTCCACAATAAAATCCATGCAACCCGTTTTCACACAAGAACCATCCTCACTTTCACAACTGAAACTTGAACAAAGTTTTCTATTGTGTTCTTGAAAATATCTAACAAAATGTTTTAACCCAGCTTTAAACTGAACTTGTGAGAATGTTCTTGATTTAAAGACGTAATCACAGCTCTATACATTCATGGGTCCGAAGATGTTACATTTTCCTCCTTAGTAATCTGTTCCACACAACATGAACTAGTGAAGAACAATGTCCACCAACATGTACCTCATTTCTCTGGGATAGTCCATGTTCAAACTGTAAAGCAACCCCATGGGCATTGCCATGGCTGTGGGAATATCACCAAGATCTGTCAGAGTCACCGATTCCTCCAGCACGACAGACACATTAAGATCACATTAAGATGGTCTTCACCATCTTTAAGAAGAAGTAGGCCCACTTTCATCCCTTTGTTCATACTCTTTTATCATCAGCGGCCTGTAACATAAAAACATTACAAATTAAGGGTGCATTCACACCAAAAAGGAAAAAAAGTCAGAATATGAGAGTTTGAACGCAAACTGAGCTCAAATTAGCTACCTAAAAAACGAGTTATGCATGTATTTAGGCCTTTACAGAGATTGCTTAATGCAATATGCCCACATCTGTGTCTTGTGAGTGTCGATTGCGGCTCTTTTGGCCAAGAGAGGGGAAGGTTTGTTTTTTCTTCTTAATTTATAGTCCGCAGTTTTTATTCAAACTTAAAATAGATCTGAACTTTCAGACAAAGCTGAAATAATGTTAATAATTTAGATCAAGTCCCCAAAGTTTAGACAAAAATATTGAAATCTTAAATCTACAGCTTTAAAAAATGAACAATCGTCCCTGAAGAAATGTGGAAGTCCGAGCAGAGGGATGGCCCTCTTAAAAGAGTGATTTGTCCGAGTTCTCCAAGAAAGAAAGAAACAAAAAAATAATATAAACCCTCAAACTGAAAAGCATCATGTAATCTGGATTAAATTTCCCCCACAACTGTAAAGATGGATGGTAGTTAGTTTCTATTACTGAGGACAACCATTTACTTAGTGAACTTGGGTTTATGATCAACGGCTGCTGAAAATTGTATTCATTAGGTCGACTAATCCAGTCATATGCCTGGATATGAAGAGTTAATTCTGCAGATTGAGTTTTAGAATGAGTTAAACATTAGGTCAAATTGAAAAAAAAAAAAGTTAGTGGGAAAGTGGGGGATGACTGAATTTGACTTAATCAAGTTATTTTACTAAGCAGATTAGTGTAATGATTGGAAAATATTTGGAGAACTAAATAAATGAAACCAAAACCATTTCCATATTCAAAAAAGTATAAAAAAACAAATGTGGGGCTACAGTAGCTCAGTTGGTAGAGCATTGGCCCCACCTCAACACCTTCTCTACCGACTCCCAATGATGTCTGCTGTCATTGTGTCCTTGGGCAAGACACTTTTCCCACACTTACAGAGCAGGGGCTGTAAGCCTCAAGATTCTAAGAGTCCTCTCAGGGAGCTCCTAACTTAACATAAAAACTCCTAGCTAGGAGTCTTAGCTTAGCAATTATTCCAGAACACGCTTAGAGAATTCTGAGCAAGGCAAAAACTTTTATCTTAGCGAGGAGGTGTGGCCGTTGCTAGGTACGAGTCATCATTTTAGACGCTGTGATTGGTTGATCCTAAACGCTAGAGAAAACATATTATTGATGATAATGAGCAAAATAAGCACCCTAAAATGGTCAAACTCAATCATGGAATCTTATCTTAGGAAGACTGTGTTATTGTAAATAATAGTCAGAAAAGGTAGAAAGTCAGATATATCAATGTCAAATTAATACTGTGAAAAGTAAGATAGACTTTTACACCACATCATTAGAGCTTGCTCAGCACCAATTTATCACACATATTTAACACACGTATATAACATGAGCACATATATATAAATATGTATACATATATATTACACACACATTTATACATATTACTCTCTATATAATATACATGATAAAGAAAATTATTATTCTATAAATCTTATTATAAATCTTATATGGATAAATGATAATGATAACGTTAGGATGAGTAAAGGCTGTGATACTGAAAGACATATACGGAATTAAGGAAACAATATTAATATAAACATATTATACACTGTACAAATCAAGTGCATGTTATTGTAAATGTCACTGTTGCATAACTGTAAATATACCACGGAATAAACTAAGCTGAAGCAACCACATCGTTTAAGTTAATTTAGAATGATAGCGGGTGGGAGTTTAAAAGTTTTAACTTCTTCACACACCTTTTTGAGCTGTTTTACTTTCATGTTTAAAACCAGGTTTAGAACAATTCTGTTTAGCTGTGCATACAACTGAGGGATTTTATATCTTAATCTTTATCTTTAATGTACTGTGATTATTTATGATTTTAATGCTATTTTGACTTGTCCAGCACTTTGAGTTGCCTTGTGTATGAATTGTGCTATACATAAACTTGCCTTGCCTTGAGCTGGATAGTTGTTAATAAAACAAAACTGTATATTTGTACTTTTTCTATTCTGTTGTTGTTGTTTTTTTTGTTGTCCTTTTTTCTTGTTTGCCATGGCTCGAACTAAAGTATTAATTCATTCATACTGAATGTGTGAAAATGTAGACCCACTTGCACAGTATTAACACAATAATAGTTATATTTAAAAGAAAAAATGGAGAAGGAGGCACTCTGAAAACTGTGTTCTTTTTAATGACTGACGCGTTTCGACCAGAGTCTTCGTCAGGGCAGTGATAGTTATATTTAATTGGTTTTATTAATTACCATGCTGGTCATTTTTTCTCTTTCAACTTTTACCATTTCTACCTACTTTTGTGTAACAGGAGTAAAATGGGTCAGTTGTGATTGCTGACCAGCCAATAAGAAGCTGGTCAATGTCAATGTCAACTTTATTTATATAGCTGTCATGGTGTGGACTTTTTGGATTATTTTAACCTGGTTTTATTTACTTTATTTGTTCTCTTGTATTTTGAGTTTTCCTGATTCCTGTGTGTCCTGTTGATTGTTAGCCCCGCCCTAATGTGATTCACCTGTGTCTCCTGTGTGCATATATACCCTCCCAGAGGAACAGGTACTTCAAAAAGAGATCTCAATAATCACTCATTCCTTTCTCCTAGACCAAATTGAGCATTGTTTAAGTCCAATCTGAGCAGACGGATTATTGCTCCCGTTTCTCAATTTAGTCTCCTGAGCAAAAGACTGTACCAAAGCTCAGATTAGACTCTGGTTGAGATTTAAAAGAGATCTCATTTTGTCCTTGTAGAAATCTCAAATTGCCTCCACGTTAAATGTCTTCTAGTTGTCTCAATCATTGACACAAGAGAGATTTCACATTAAACTTAAAGTAATCTCATTTTAAGTATGTCTATTTTTTTTTTCCCCTCATGTGCTAGAAGTTCAATATTTAGAAAAAGTACAGATTCATGAACACATGTAAAAGTAGATTAAAACTGTACATAAGTAAAAGTACCAATTTTTAATAGTACTTGATAAGTAAAAAGTAGTATCTCGCACATTAACTAAACCCAACCAGGACTAAAGCTGGATTTACCCAGGACTAAATCATGTCCTAGTTTATCACCACTAAACTAGAACAGCTGGCCTAAATCCATGTTTAGGACTGAATCAGGACAAAAACTGGACTAAGAAAGTACACACAGGCTTTTAAATGTAAAAGTATTAGTTGTAATATGTCCAATAAAAGTACTTATTAACTTGTATTTTCCACCAACAGGTCTTAAATGTCATACAGGAAGAATAAAGACACTTGTGTTGCTATCGTTTATTTGGCTGCTTTTAAAGACCATGTTCGAGTTTGTTAGGGAAATGTGCAGCAAACACGATACCTGGCATCGACGACAAATCAAAGAACATTAACTTTCCCAGAATATGTTCAAGAGCAACAATTTTTCTTTTTACAGGCCCCTCTGACAAACTAACAACATGAAAACATGTTCCACCAGTAAGGGAATCTTTTAAAAGAGTCCTCCCTGTAACTGAAAATTCATTTACAAGTGCAAGATACATTTCATTTCCACAGTTACCGTTTCTTTTAAATGAAAAAAATACATCGACTTGTCCATATTTGTGCCCCATACCGTCTTGAAATAGCACAGTGTTATTGTTTCTTCGTTTAGCTTTGCGATACCGTTTTGAAGCGTAAACAGTATTTCCGATTTGAGCTCTGTTAAAAGCCTTCACAATATTGTTATCCAGTCTTTGACCAATGAACTGTTCCAGAATACTCATATCGTCAGTATCAAGACATAGATTAAATGATGCCCCAATCAATACAACACAATGTAGATCATTTCTTTGAATACTGTCACCGCTCATTTTGACCAAGAAATCAGTAGCTACTATATATAGCTTACTACTTTGTGTAATACAAGGAAGACACTGTATTATTTTAACAGCAGTCACCATTTGAAGAGGTATATTCTGAGTTCCATGTACAAGGCGAAGCAAGTGACCGTTTTTGTCCTCAAAGTGAAAGCAAGAGTGTGTCCACAAAGGACCAAGATTTCTCACGCTGTCAGCTAAATGAACAAGCATGTGCATATTGGCTGTCATATAACGCTCTCCATAAAGGCTACTCATCTGACTACAAAAATTCAACAGAAGCTTTTCAGCGTGATCTATTTGGGCAGGCATTACTGACTCCATTAGAAGAATGAATACTGCCTCACTAAGCAGTAAAAAATGGTGGTAGTACAAATCATCAAGAAGACCCCAAAACACAACAGGCCCAAAAAACAACAGTATGGACCGATACTCTGATGCTTTGAAAAACATTCTATGAGAAGACACACATCGTGGAAATCTAATGGAAAATGGTGGCTGGATTTCTCTTAGTCTTTTGTCCACTTCTTCAATTGATTTGACCATACTAAATGCAGATCAAGAATACTCTGTAGAAAACCACAGGCACATCAGCAACCGCATCACTCCTAACAGTACACAATGCATGTAATCTATGCCAGTACTCCGGACTAAATCATAACTTTTCAGTCTGCTGAGATAGTAGGGCCTTTCACTCCCTGTACAATGCTATCAGAGTCACAAGCCCTCCGGGCTTCATCGATGAAGTCTCCATGGGTACGTGCTGGACCTTTTGGGTCTACAGTCTGGAATGGAAATGCATGAACGTGTCCTCTTTCTCCTGTTTTCACAGTTTGTCCTGGCTGTTCACATTTTAAACATCCAAATTTACCATTGTATTGAACAGTGTTGAGAACTAATGCTTTTGCTGGAAGATCGCATGTTCCAGCGATAGTGAACACTTTGCATGTAAACGGTGCTGAGGCCCCTGCAAATGTGACGGTAACACCTTCTTCTTCCATTTTGTTCAGTGTCTCAATCAATGGTTTAAGAAAGGTCAACATAGATGGTTTTGAATCCCCAAACCAAAGACCAGCAAATATCATGTTTTCACGTTTTGTGCGTTGAACAAAGCTCAACTCATTTATAATACAATAAAAAGGCCACACTGAAAACTTGTAAGACTTAAAAATAGGTACTCCATCTGTGTTCCAAGTCAATGAAATATTTTTGGGGTTGTTGAGGGGACCGTTGCCTTGTAGTAATGTTTTATAGACGTCTCCATCATACATTTCTTCAACACTGTTATTGGCCCTTTTTTGTCTCTTGAATCTAAACAGTAGTTGCTCCTCAAATCCTTGTTTAGCAAACATGGATTTCAATTGTGCTTCAATTGATACTTCAATGAAATAAGAAGAAGAACCTTCCACCAATAAATCAGCAGCACATGATTTGCATTTTTCCTCTGTGCCTTCAACTGATAAGAAGCACCCACTGCAATATTTGTGCAAATGTACAGTTGTAGCAGATGACTGATGAAAGAATTGTTTGAATTTTTGTAAACTATGAAGACATTCGGTCTGGATCTCAGATGGACAATGCAAACTAATCAGAGTAATTAAGTCATTAAGTGCTTTACCTGTTAGTTTGTGTCTTTTTGCAAAGGTCATAATAAGAATCAGGCTTTCTGCTACAGAAAGGGGTGCATTAGCGTAAAGAGGCCCGTCTTTCGAATCTGTGCCAGTGTTAAAATCCACATTCTCATCGGCACTCTCCTCATTGCATGTATTGAAATTCTCATCCAAAAGTTCATCATAGTCCGAGAGGTGATCTGGTGTGTCAATTAGATGAGATGCTGAGTCCGTCTCATCAGTCTCCGTAGTCATTGCAGTCGCAACAGTCACAGCAGCATTATCTGACGATGAAGGGAGCACAGGTGTTGGGGGACAAGGAGCCAACTCAAAAACTGGGTCCTCTTCATTGGCATAAGGTCCATGATTTGCTGATTCTATAAAACAAAAATAATAGACATGAAAAAAACCAAAAAAACAATGGTCCATTATTGATTCACTCCAATGACTGCTCTGACAGGCAACGTTTATTTACCCCACAAAAACTAAATAAAAGGCCTGTTCTCCAGCTGGACAGTCCAGACAAAAACCTAGATGAACACTAATTTGTGCTCCAACTTCAGTAACATTATAAGAGTCTTACTTTAAAATGAGAAACTTATCATGTGCAAGTCTACAAGTGACTTAAAAAACATTTCCTGTGACTTATCTTAAAACAAATATTGGCACTGTACATTTATTTAGTTTGTTGTGGTTTTTTCCGTTACCTTTTGTAAATAAGATTGCGTCACTACTAAAACAAAAAGATGGCTCTCAGTACTGCAGTACAATTCTGCACATCTTTACTTCAGTAAAATCCTATTCAAATGACTGTTATGCTTACTTGAATAAACATTTTCACTAGTCTCTCCAACTCTGTCACAAACGCAACCACACAATATATATATATATTTTTTTTATAACGAAGGAACACACACCTGGGATGTCCTGGGACTGATGGCAGCGCTGTAAAGAAAAAAAGAAAAAAAAGAATAAAAGCCCCATCACAAAGACATATATTAAGGTTAATTTCCCTCAGTCTTATGATGCTTTCATGTGGTATCGTAGTTATCGAAAATACCACTTGTCGAGAAGAAAAACTGAACATGAACACCTCCTCATGTCCTATTATACACTGGAGAACTGGGTATTTATTTTGACGCCCCAGTTTATGAGCGGAGATAACCTTTTTATTTATTTATTATGCCCTATGCGTGAAAGCCTGCACAATTTATTAAGACAATGCAATTAAAAAACTTTTCTATTTTTACGTAGCGTCATGTAAAGACATGTATTTTGCAGTTTGTAGACCATTCTCTAATCTGAATTTTCTTTTAGTTATCTTAGTTGAAGTTAGCTATACCAATTGAGAACCACTGCCATAATGTAGTTTTTACTTTGTATTATTTATTTGATTCAAACAATGCAATTACATTGATCTAAACAAAATTTACCTTTCTCCTGTATCTTTTAAGTGCTTCGTCCTTCTTTCTCCTCCAGCGTGGATCAGGCTTGGGTGGCATTTTCAAGCGCAAGTGTAAACTCTAATGGAAAAAAAAGACAAAATAAAGTCTGTTATGAAACTGAATAATGCATGTCTTACTGAAAGATCAATACATGGTTATGTTATTTATACTGCGTTCCATAATGTCCCACTTTGGAATAGTCTTCCCTACCCCCGAGTTGGTGAAAACAAAATAGCTGCGTCCTGAGTTAGCATAAAAAAATAATATCCAACAAAATGTTTACATTTCTCGTGTTTCTAATAATTGTGTTGTCCTCTACTGTCTGTCTGCTGTCCACAAGTATTTTCAATGCAGAAGTTGGGCCTCTGTTGTTAAAAGTGGCCGTTTCTGCGTAATGCTAATAGCGCTAATGCTAGCTAGCAGGCAAATGCTCACATACAGCAGCCTTCGCTCTCATTTATTTGCAACATTATTTATTAAACCATAAATCTAACCACGCTTTTCGGATTAGTAAAATAACTTAATGAGGGACATATGCTTTCTGGTATTTACCAGATTGTAGCTTAACATTATTTATATGCGTCACTGTGTCATCAAATCTGACTTGATGAACAGCTCAAGTCGGAAAAAAAATAGTTCCCAGTTCTGACCTCCGATAACAAATGGAACGCTACGGTCATATATAATGATAATTAAAATTCATACACTCACCAAATTACAGTAACTTGCCAAAATCCGACCAGACAGCCTGTGGTAGCGTGGAGTGGAGTTGAGTTGATGTTGTTTTTTTCTTTTTTGAGCGGAGTGGAGAAGTGAACAAGAAGCAACGTCATTACTTACGTAGCTGTCTGTTTCAGATTCTGAAATATGATTGGTTGTTTTTAAAGCGGGAGCGCAATAATCAAGGTTGCTATCAGACCTGTCATTGGCTAAGAGAATTTTCTGCTTCAAATGATTGTGATGTCTCACCAACGTAACGTACATCAGATGGGAATGGCGGCGGACCCGAGCAAGCAGCAGAAAACGGCAAGAAAACAGCAGCAGAAAACAGCAGCAGTACTCCGAATGAAAAGCAGATCTCAAAGACGGTAGGCGCTACTTTGTTAGTACGTGGTATGAGTTAAGTTGCTCTAATTTTAATTCTTCTGTAAACCAGGTTCGTACGACTACAAGGAAAACGTTAGCACGCTAGTGCTAGCTAACCCAAACCACGGTTAACCAGCCGTGGTTAGAGTTAAAAAAAAAATGTCAGTGGGGAAAACTATATGTCGTGTACATATGAAGCCCATGTTATTGAAGAAATAAGAATCATTCTTAAATTACTATTAATTTGCAGTGCAGAGGTGGTACAACCTTACATTTGCTCAAGTACAGTTACTTACTTTTTGAAGAAATTTTTTGTAAATTGTAGAGCAGTTTTAACAGTTACTTTGTAATTTTACTCAGAGAAGTATTTGTTTACTTTCACTGTCATTTATGATAAAATCTTAGTAAATCTTTAAGTGACTAAGCTGCATTTTCACATAAATTGTTTTTTATATGCAGTTTTCTTCTAAACCTTTTTTTATTTTGTTTTACAATGTTTAATGTTCACATGTTTGTCACAACTCACAAATCGCATGTTTTACTTTTTACTCACAGTACTAAAGTAACATTGTCCCGATGTAATGTACTGTACACATGTAAAAGAAATGCATATGCATATTAATTTAATTCTAATTAAAAATCAATTTTCCCAAACTAGAAGACATAAAAAACAATTGGCTTGATGGACAAGAACCTTAATTTGTCAAGACCTCGAGCGCCATGTAAATTTTTGTATTATTAAAAACGATTGACGCTTGACTGGTTGGTCTTAAGCATTACGGGTGTGCAATAATCACACTGCTGTGGCTTTAGTTCTTAAAACCTATAATTTGTAATTTTAAAATTAATACTAAAAAAACATTTCTTAATTTCAGTATGGAGAGCAGAGAGATAAAGGAGCTGCCCAAAAGGCATCGCCTTCCGCCAAAAAAAGCCAGCTGCTACCAGGCCTTTCTTGAGTCGCCAAAAGGTGTAGGGGTGGCAGGTATAAAAAATGTCACTTTTTTTTTTAAGATCCTAGAAATTCTGATTTTATATCTATGTAGAAATGTTGAATCAGTGCTATATTTGAACACCTTATTATGGGGATTAGCCTTTTTCAGCTGTTTTTGTTTCCATTTTTAGGTTCGTTTGTCTTTGTGTCCTTCGAAGATGGATACACCGGAAAGATGTTCAACATCTGTGATGTTTTAAGGAAGGATGAGAAACCTGTTCAGGATTTTCACGACTTGAGCCCTGGAGAGGAAATTCTGGCTCGCTGGTCTGACCACAAATTTTATAATGCAACTGTCGAGTACATTGGAACGAACACAAAAAAAGATGCTAAGAAAACTGTCTCAAAGAAAAAAGACGCCGTGGCTTCGCAACATCACAATTTTTATAATTCTTCCCCATCTCACCCGACTAAGCAACAGCCTGCTTCAACCCCCCAGCCAGCACAGCAACCATCTCAGCAGCACCAGGTAGCCTCAGCCCTTCAGCCTGTACAGCAACCATCTCAGCAGCACCAGGTAGCCTCAGCCCTTCAGCCTGTACAGCAACCATCTCAGCAGCACCAGGTAGCCTCAGCCCTTCAGCCTGTACAGCAACCATCTCAGCAGCACCAGGTAGCCTCAGCCCTTCAGCCTGTACAGCAACCATCTCAGCAGCACCAGGTAGCCTCAGCCCTTCAGCCTGTACAGCAACCATCTCAGCAGCACCAGGTAGCCTCAGCCCTACAGCATGCTCCTCCCAACCAGCATCTTCAGCAACAATCTCGACACCAGTCTCATCCATACCAGCTTCTCCAATCCTCTCCACAACAGTCTCCACATCCGCGTCACCTTCTTTACCACCAGCCTCTTCAATCTATTGAGGTCCAGCCACCACCTCTCTACGGGCCATCATATTCCAAATCCCTAACCAGCTATTATCAGCTCACACCTAGTACATCACAGCAGGTGTACGCTCAGGTTCACCACAGTACTATTGTTAGCCAGGGGACTCCTGAAAAACATGATGTCTTCCAGTCAGCAATTGAAACCCCTCCTCGTTCTGTCCGAAGCAGTTTCATGAACATGTTAAACACCCCTCCTGGCAGTAGCAGAGCAGAGCACAGTGGCGCCATCTCAGACACAAGTACTGCTGACACAATAATACTTGAGCGTAGTCCAATAGAACAGTATGGTGAGCCATGTGGGACCCCACAGTCTAGCGAAGAAGGTTTTCAACCTTGTGAGAATTGTGCAGCAGAGTTTGCGAGGCTGAAAGAAAACAATAAGAGGCTGGAGGTGCTGAACACTATAGGTAAGTCCACTTACGTTTTTCATTATTTATGATATTATTTCAGGCTTCAGCTCTCAAGCAGGTCTTACCAAGGGCTAAACAAGGTTTAAACCAGATCAAAACCTGGACTAAACCAGATCTGTCCTGGTTTAATCCTTGTTTTGACCTGGTTTACTCATCAGGTCTAAATCAAGTCTTACTCTGGTTTAGACTAGGTTTAATCCTGCTTTGGACTTGGTTCAGACCTGGTTAGACCAGGCTCTTCAACCAGATAGAAACCAGAGTTGATTTCTATTTTATATGCTCCAGATTCTGCAGATCTGGAGAAAATCAGGGAGCTTCTGGGCAAAATTGAAGAACTGGTACCAAGCACCAAGGAGGGACACCAAGGTCGTCAAAGGGACAAGAAAGAACTGTACCCAGGAAGCGGCCTGTACATCTCTGCAACTCGTCTTGCTGCAATTAAAGTGGAAGCCAAGAAAGACTGCCTCCGCCTGTTCCACCTTCTGTTTGATGAAGTGTTCTCACCAGAGGAGTGCAGGAATTGTGTAGCATTCGGCAAACATGGAAAAATTCCCGATGGCAAGACGCTGCTGAATAAGCGTAAAGTAGACGCAGTATTGAGTAAGTGTTTAATTTTTACAAAATGATTGTCTTATAAATATCTTGACCATTTTTCTGTCTCTGTCTACAGCTTACATCATGCACTGCTGCACCTTGGCAGGATGGATTCCGGTGGATATGTCAAAAGTGAAAAAAGCACTCATCAATAAATGCCGTGCAAGAGCAGCCCGACGTCTTGTGAGTTAAGGCTGGGCGATATGACTGTGAAAAACGAATTGCGAACTGTGACGATCTGTTTGTTGGTAAGATCATCGTTCATCATGCAGTAGATTCTTGTTCTTTGCACAATGTTCAGGAGATGTGTACAGTTAATGGACATAATGAAAAATAATACTGGAGTTTTGTGTTATTTGAAAGATTTTTTCATTTTTTTTATCCCTTTGCAAACATATACAATGCTGTGGACTATTTGCAGTCATCAGTGACTCCATATTCAATTTGGATTTTCTATGTTTTTACAATAACATTGTTTGAAATAGGTACATAGGAAATGGACATGAAGAATAATCCAAAAGTAGCATTTTTGTGAGTGTGTCATAATGGTGACAATTGTTGCTGTTCTAGAAATTTAAAAAAGGAACAGGTCAGTTTTTCCATACTGAGTTGTTCTTACTTTATCGTAGACGAGTGGATTCATACCCATCTGTTCTTTTTTGCGTGCGCTCAGTCATGCAAAAAGACCAAAGAAGTTATTAGCATTTAGCCTCTCCTAGCATACTCCTATGGTAGCAAACAGGGTTGAAGTTACAAGGGACCAAGCTCTTTCACATTTTACCTATTTACAGTTACATGAGTAGTTACACGATCCAGCTTTATCAGCAACTGATAAAATATGGTTGGATCGTGGAAACAAAATTAGACGTGTAGATATTCAAAGCGGATAAAAAGGGGTACTATATTGTGAGGCGTCCGTGCAGAGAATTCTTTAGAAGTGAAGATATTACTGCGCGAAAGTCGACGTGTTCCTAAGGTGGTGTCGTGCCTAACAATATAGTTCCCCTTTTTATCCGCTTAGAAAATTGGCATTTTTAATGTTGTGTAACTAGACTTGGATAGTGTAACTGCTCGCGTAACTGTATTTAAATAGGGAAAACGTGGAAGAGCTTGGTCGCTTATAACTTGGGTCCATAGGAATGTGCTGGGAGAGGCTACATGCTAACAACATCTTTGGTCATTTTGCATGACTGAACACAGGCACAAAGACCAGACAGGTACGCATCAACTTGTCTAAGCTCAGGTAAGAACATGTCTCATTGTGAACTATTCCTTTTTAAGTTTTAGCTGCTTCCCTTAGCTAATAGACTCTAAGTGCTCATAAAACGTGGTTAAAATCACAATCTATCAAAATTGTACCTAGTTTTTCCTGGTTTGACAGATTTTATGCTTTATTATTATTTTACTTCCTTAGACAGTCACAGGAGGTGACAGACATAGAGAGAAACATATTATGTTGCCGTGCCAACCATCTACCAATGGGATTTAAGTGAGTCAGGATCACAGAAATAAAAATATAATTCCAAAGATATTATACATCAAACTAAGTAAACACAAAGGGTTAAAACTGATAAAATATGGTTGGCATGGCTACATGAATGTTTCATCTTTATGTGTGCCTGTCTAAGGAAGTAAAGTAATAATAAAGCATAACTGTCAAACCAGTCTGTTCAATCAAGAAGTTAAATAATTAACATCACCAAAATTGTTTAACCAATTTTCAGCAAAATCCTTTATCAATGTTTTAATTTTCTGTGAACATTGTTTATCATTGGCACTTTAAAGGTTCAGTTTTTTTCAATGCAGATAAATAAAGGTGTCCAGAATCAAGTGTGTAGTTTTATTCATGCAAATACGTATGCATATGGAGAGGTTAGTCAGTAACTGTGATGAAACCAGGGTTTGACCAGACTTTTTAGGAGGCCGGACATAGTACGATGCGTTGACCAATAGCCAACAGGCGCTAGGGCCTAATGTAATTCAGGATGTGTCAGATGGCTAGCAACATTATGGCAAAACGCTGCTTGAGATGTTTTAATATATGTATTTATCTGTGCAATACCATAATTCACTAAATTTATTCTGTGCTGGTATTATTATAATATTTTATTTTGTCAAGTTGAGCTTTGGACATTGTTTAATCATATTATTTGTATTTATAATGTACTTTCGGTTTGTTTTAGCCTAATTTAGAGATTTACTTTAATTTAGTTTTGACTGCCTGATGTTTCTCCATAGCAGTTTAAGTGATTTTTGTCTCCATGGTAGGTGTCATTGAGGCATAACACAGATTCTCCAATGTGTCTCAAGTAGGTCTCACTTTTTGGTCTCATCTGTTGCTCCTAAATGCATTTGAGGAGAAACAAAATAAGCCATAGAAACAGTTTCTCTCTCATGTCTCAGTTATTTCTCAATTATGTCTCAAACTCTGATCTCATCTGTTGCTCCTAAAATGCTTTAGGAGCAACAGATGAGAATCACATTTTTGTCTCCAGAAGCTTAAGAATAGACATGTATGAGAAGTAACATTTTCCTCTGGGAATAAACAGCATATCTTTTAACTGTTTTGACGACTGTATTTAAGAGCCAAAAAAGCATGCTTCTGCGCGTCATATTCGTCATCAATGTGGAATAATAATGCATCGGTGTTATATAGCGCTTTTCTGGACACTCAAAGACGCTTTACATGTCATTATTCATTCTCTCCATACACGGTGGTGATAAAATACTACTGTAGCCACAGCTACCCTGGGGCACACTGACAGAAGCGAGGCAACCAGTATGCGCCATCGGCCCCTCCGACCACCAACCATTCACACACACCAGACTCATTCTAGGCAATGGGGGTGAAGTGTCTTGCCTAAGGACACAACGGCAGTTTGGCACTTTACAGCCGCAGCCGCCCCACTGTGGCTGGTGTTCCCAGAGGTTAAGTGTCTTGCCAAGGACACAACGACAGCAGACAGTGGGACTCGATGGTGAAGTTCGGGCTTGAACCCACGACCCACTGGCTCAAAGGCCCAGACAGGCGGAAACACGCGAGACACGCGGATCATAGACACTTGGACAGAACCAGAGACACACGAAGCATAGACACTCGAGTCGGACAGGTCCATTTGTTTTATTTGTGTTTAAAGTTACCTAAGTTTCTCCTTGCATTAAAAATGCTTGGTGGTTGTGGATATTTAGACTGCGTGATTTGATAGAATAATACTGGCAATGTCTAATACATATCTAATTTTCAGTAAATTATAAAGAGAAAGAAAAAGAAGAGGAGGTCAAAATTCAATCCATTGAATATTGAAAGAATCAATACATTCTTGATTTTCGACTAATTCATGAGTGTTGTGTGTTTAATTGGTGCCAAAGTAACATCTTTTTAATCTTCTACAACATAGTGACTAAAACAAGTGTGCCATAACAGAGTAATTCAAAATTTACATGTTTATATGACTGTGATGATTATGTTTGGAATGTCGATCTTTAAACCTGTTTTTCTCAGAATTCTGTTTCATAAAACCATGTAAATACGCTGACTTCAGATTATGAGAACTTTTGTTACAGACATGCTATGGAGAAAAGGAAAACAGATTTGAAAAGATATTGAAAGCAGGCTTTAACACTAGCACTCGCATGGAGGTGTCATTTGGCACTTATACCTATCATCCCCTCCACGGTGCCAAATGACCCCAAGGATTTTAGCTAACAAACGAAATCACCTGTGAACGGCCAACTTTGTTATGTAAATAGGCCGTTATCACAGGCTGAGCTTCACTTTGCCATCTTAGGGGGAGGGGGAGGATCTGAATAGTTACAGTTTTTCTCCAGTGGCTTTAGTGCATTTCTCACATCACATAACATTATCATGAGCTTCAGTCAGAATGAAACATACTGTTTTATAACATTATCATGAGCTTCAGTCAGAATGAAACATACTGTTTTATAACATTATCATGTGCTTCAGTCAGAATGAAACATACTGTTTTATAACATTATCATGTGCTTCAGTCAGAATGAAACATACTGTTTCAGTCAGAATGAAACATACTGTTTTATAACATTATCATGTGAAACATACTGTTTTATATTTTATAGTAAAATTTGCTTCAGTCAGAATGAAACATACTGTTTTATAACATAATCGTGTGCTTCAGTCAGAGTGAAACATACTGTTTTATAACATTATCATGTGCTTCAGTCAGAATGAAACATACTGTTTTATAACATTATCATGTGCTTCAGTCAGAATGACACATACTGTTTTTATAACATTATCATGTGCTTCAGTCAGAATGAAACATACTGTTTTATAACATTATCATGTGCTTCAGTCAGAATGAAACATACTGTTTTATAACATTATCATGTGCTTCAGTCAGAATGACACATACTGTTTTATAACATTATCATGTGCTTCAGTCAGAATGAAACATACTGTTTTATAACATTATCATGTGCTTCAGTCAGAATGAAACATACTGTTTTATAACATTATCATGTGCTTCAGTCAGAATGAAACATACTGTTTTATAACATTATCATGTGCTTCAGTCAGAATGAAACATACTGTTTTATAACATTATCATGAGCTTCAGTCAGAATGAAACATACGGTTTTATAACATTATCATGTGCTTCTGTCAGAATGAAACATACTGTTTTATAACATTATCATGTGCTTCTGTCAGAATGAAACATACTGTTTTATAACATTATCATGTGCTTCTGTCAGAATGAAACATACTGTTTTATAACATTATCATGAGCTTCAGTCAGAATGAAACATACTGTTTTTATAACATTATCATGAGCTTCAGTCAGAATGAAACATACTGTTTTATAACATTATCATGTGCTTCAGTCAGAATGAAACATACTGTTTTATAACATTATCATGTGCTTCAGTCAGAATGACACATACTGTTTTATAACATTATCATGTGCTTCAGTCAGAATGAAACATACTGTTTTATAACATTATCATGTGCTTCAGTCAGAATGAAACATACTGTTTTATAACATTATCATGTGCTTCAGTCCAGAATGACACATACTGTTTTATAACATTATCATGTGGCTTCAGTCAGAATGAAACATACTGTTTTATAACATTATCATGTGCTTCAGTCAGAATGAAACATACTGTTTTATAACATTATCATGTGCTTCAGTCAGAATGACACATACTGTTTT